CCGCGAATGCTAATCGACGAACGTTGCTCGCCGGTGACCCGGCCCGCGTGTGTGGTCCCGGTCGCCTTTTAATCGTGAACGCTGATAATCGAGAGAGCCATTGCCGCGAGAACTGGGACGCCCGGCACGGCCGTACGTATAACAGCTCGCCGGTGTTTAGTAATCGTAGTCATTAGAGAGCAACAGCGGGGGGAAAGGATCTCGCCGGCCGACATTTCGTCAGGAATCCAGCGAAAGTTTCCTTTCTGATTCCCATGGTGTCTCGCGCTTTCCCGAAACCGGGGAAATCGCCGTGCGACGACGCTCGAGCGCGCCGAGCCGCTTGCGATCCCCTTGGCCTATGACCGCTTTCGCAACTTTTAATAGAATTACCGTGTTCCGAGTAATTTATTACAGGAAAAGGTTACGGCACTCCATATCTTCGTTTATTAGAAACGGAACGATTGATAATAGAAGATTACACGACTCGAGCTCGAACGAATCGAGTCCGACAAGTTATCGTTAAACCCTTAACGATCGAGTTAGACATTCGGAGGCCCTCGCAGCAACGAAATAGCCGTTCACTTGCCGCAGCTATTAGCTCCGCGAAGTTAGCGGGGTTTCCACGAATAGTAACGCCGGGGAACAACGGAGTCGGAGTCGAACGGTGCTCGAAAAAAAGTTTCGGAGGAAACGAGCCGGCCGATGATTCCCTTCCTTTCGGGGCAGCTGCGTTTTCGGGGTAAGTTGCATGTTCCGTGGAGTCTCGGGCCCGGGCGCAGATTATAGATGCGTCTTCGGGTGATCACAGACAAACGTTTAAATCGCTAAACGTCGAATTAGCCGCGATCTACCGTTCCCTCGCCGCCGTAAAATATAATAGCACGCTGCGTAGAGACGCGAGCCCTAGCTCCCGAGCTTTTGGTAGCGTCTCTCCAACAGCTGCGATTCACTAGGAGACGCTTATTTCTCTCTCCCGCCCTCCCCCTCCCCTGCCCCGTCCGTCGATCCTCCTCGGTATTAATTCCCTGAGATCTGTAATCTTCCCTCGCCACCGTCGGCTCGGATCCACGCCGGCGTCTGGACGGATCGGCGCAGCGCGTGTCCAGAAATCCATTCCTCGTTCCGGCAACGTTGTTATTCACGGAAATTTGGGGCCGGGTACGCGATATCGTTCACGGCTCCGTCACGGTAAGATCATCGTGATCCTGTCTCTCGTCCCGGATGCACCTGTGCCGCGTGATTCCATGAATTTCGGCCGAAATCAATTTCGCCGGCGAACCTGTTCTCCGCGAGACGAGTAAGACAAACGTCTTTCTTTCCTTCTTACTGCAGTTTTCTTTCCGAGTTAGTAAGTACATTGCCCAGAGTACCTCACGCGTGACAATCCAATGAAGCAACAAAATGTTCGATACCACAAGAAGATGACCATCGATCACCGGCGCGCCGAAAAGAATCGAAGCGAAGGAAAGGAGGAAGGAAGCGAGGAAGGAAAAGAACGTGCTCCAGTTCCGGCGCGAGTCTCACGTTCGCGCGCGGCGTTCTCACGGCGAAAAAAGGGTCCGGGGTCCCGTGAGAGACTCCGGCAACTTTTGGTCCCGGCAGTCGGGTTTCGTGCTCTATGGCGGAGCAGCGGGCCCGTGGCCGGCGCGGCGTACCAGGGGACCGTTGGCGTGATACCCATTTTCGACAACGACCACCTCGTCCGCTATCACCAGCTCTCCCCC